TGTAGTAGTATACTTTAGAAGGCTTTTGTAGTTCTCCAGAGGAAGTTGGTTAGAAAGATTAAAGTACATGAGATAGGAGGTAGCGTACTGACATGGTTTAATGATTGGCGAACAGATAGAAAACAGAGAGGAGGAGTAAATGGGCCATTCTTATATTGGTATGCTATGACTAGTAGGGTACTACAAGCATCAGTACTTGGACCCTAGCTGTTCATAATACACATCAACGATTTGAATGTGAAGGTCAAATGTAATATTTCCAAATTTGTGGAAGATAAAAAGCTAAGTGGAAAGGCGTGTTGTGAGGAGGATTTGGACATGCTTCACGAACGGGCAAGAACATGCCAGACAGAATATAATATGATACACGAGGTTGGAGAAACATATGCACAGAGTATTTCTTCAATGGTATACAGTTAGAAAGTTTAGATGTACAAAGGGACCTAGGCAGCCCTAAAACTAAGTCATTGAAGGCAAGTTCAGCAAGCTATTGGGAGGGCTAATGGAATGTAAGCCTTTACTACAAGAGGATTGGAGTGCAAGAATAGTGAAACCTTGCTTCAAATGTATAGGAACTTGGTTAGACCATAATTGGAGTATTGTGTGCAGTTTTGGTCTCCTTATCTCAGGAAACATCTGGTTGACATGGAGGGAATACACTGAAGGACAGGACTATCCTGTGAAGACAGACTAGAGAAACTGGGCTAATATTTTCTCCGAAGTTCAGAAGAATGAGAGGTAATCTCATTGAAACATATAAAATATTTAAAGGGATAGGCAGGGTAGATGCAGGTAATTTGATAGCATACACTGGGCTCATGTTGTAAAATACATTTTTTGGTTTCAGTTCAAGAGAACAATTCAACCAGAGCAGTGGTGAGAGTAACTGCCCTTTACATCAAGGAACTCTAGCAAAGCAGGAGCCAATGGTAATTTGGGAGTGGGGGGTGCAGATTTCTGGTGCAGAGTAGGTCTTTTGGAGGTCAGTCATTTCAACTCCCGGGGCATCCCTGCTGGAGTTGCTCAACTGAATGTCCCAAGTTCAGCTTTCTTTCACTGCTTCTTTGATGACCTTCTCACAATAAAGGTCAGAAGCGGGAATGTTCGCTGATGCCTGCTGCACAACGTTCAGCACCATTTGGAACTCCTCAGATATGGAAGCAGTCCATGTCCAAATACTGATTTGAGCTGATAAGTGGCAAGTAACATTAATGGAATATAAATGCTAGACAATGACCATTAGGCCATCACCCCTTGACATTCAATGACATTGCCATTATGGAATCTCACACTAACATTATCCTGGGTGTTATCAATGACCAGAAGCTGAACTGGACCAGCCATATACAGAAACTGGCTACAAGAAGTGGTCTCTGGCTAGGACACTTACAGGGAGTAACTCACCTTCTAAATGCCAAAGCCTCTTCAGTTTCAACAAGGCAGAAATCAGGAGTGGGATGCAATACTCTGCACTTGCGTGAATGAGTGCAGTTTCAACATTTGACAAGCCTGACACCGTCCAGGGCAAAGCAGCTCACTCGATTAGCACCAAGTCCACAAACATTCACTCACTCCACTACCGATCATGTACAAGATGGCAATAAATGCTGGCATCACCAGTGATGCCAACATCCTTCGATTTAAATCGAGGAAAATGTGACAGGTTGTGAATCATAAACTGCCTGAGACCCAGGTATGAAGTATAATGAATGAAGGAAAACAAACAGCTACGTTGAACTGAAAGACTGATCATCAGGACTTGGTAGGATACATGTTTGGAGTTTGAGGGAGACAGGACCAAAAATGCAGATGCCCTAGAACTGATTTTGCAGTGCACTATGGAGCGAGAATGTATTATTTCAAGAATGGGAAACACCGCCAGAATAAATTTGGATATTTGCAGACCAGTAACTTTATCTCAGTGGCATGGGGAAAAGAAAACAATTTAAAGATCAAAGTGAAACAGAAAAATAATAGGATGGATTTCAAAAAGATAATCTTGCGTAATAAACCTCAGATTATATTCAGACATAGACTCAGATTATTGTAGATGAGAAAAATGCAACAGATATTGTATGAATGGATTTTAGGAATGGAATTCACTGTACTGGAATTAACTGGAATTCACAATCCACAGATAACCATAGAAGCTTGAATAGGATCTGTTAGAGAGATGATGGCAAGTTATTGAGAGTAAGAAAGCTGCAGGAGTTGGGGATGGTTTATCCAAGATGAGTGCAAGTGGATACTGTGACCAGTAGGGCTCAGATCTACAGTCACAATTTTTTTGATGTTGCACGCAATATCAAAACAGAGTACAGTTTATTCCTTTAAAAAACCAAAGGGGGTCTTTAGATGTGAACAATGAGACTGATTTTGATAAGGTGAGGAATGGGTGTAAACACAGCAGGTGGAATTCCATGTCAGTAAATACAACACAACTCAGTAAATATGTTTTGAAAGGACATAGGTTCAATGTTGCAGAGAAGCAAAGTGATTTACAAGTAAATGTTCAGGGGATAACAAAGACAGCACTGCAGACTGATAGCCTTCAAAGCAAGGAGTGAGAAAAAAAACAGAATTCCACTCATGAGGTCTGGTATAAAAATGAGGTAAATACTGGCCTTTTTTAATAAAAGGTTGGCAAGAGTACACAAAGATAATTTTAAAAAACTGCTGTTTTCAATTTTGTAGTTGTGAGATGTGATTATCCCTGATGAGGCCAAAATTTGTTGCCCATTGCTAACTGCCCTTGCGAAGGTGATATTGTGCCACCTTCTTGTACCACTGCAGTCCACCTGGTGTAGATGAACTCAGTGTTGTTAAGGTGGTGGTTACAGGCTTTTGATCCATTACTGATGTTGTCCTAAGTCAAGATGGTACGTCATTTGAAGTGTAGCTTGCAGCATTCCCACACCTCTCTTACTCACCCTTCTTAGTGGTACAGGTTTGGAAGGTGCTGTTGAAGGAAGCTTGCTGAATTTCGGCAGTGGATCCTAGATATTGTGTACACTGCTGCCAATTTTTATTCATGGGGTGGATGGGGTGCCAATTAAGCAAACTGCTTTGTCCTGGATGGCACTGACCTGGAGTGTTGTTGCTACTGTACTCATCCAAGCAAATAGACAGTATTCCATGACACTCTGACATATGTTTGTCAATAGTGACTGGACATCGAGG